GCTGCCAGCAGCTCCTGGCCCGACCCCATCTGGCTGTACCGGCCTCCCCAGAAGGACTTCTCTGTGTCACAGAAAAGGTTTCCTGGCAGGTCCTCGCTCTCCCATCCCAGGGCCGGTTTTGAAAGGGACAACTGGAGGGACCCGCAGGTGCTGAGCGGGCAGCCCCCAGATGGTGGGCAAGTTTGGGGTGAAGACAAGGCCTGAGATGTGCGGTCAGTAGTCCTGGGGGGTGGGCATGGGGCCGGGCCGGGCCAGGAGGGTGCATGCACGGCCGTGGTCTGGCTTAGGGGTGCTTTTGGGGTAATGCTGGCTCTGCAAGAGCTGCTGGCCCTATTTACACAAGCTGTGCCTGATCCCTTAAGCCAGATAAGTGTACAGAGCAGTGCTAAGGTTCAAGCTCCAGCACAGAAGGTCTCGTGTCACTCCCCCTTCCAATGGCTCTTTGCCGAGGGTGGTCCGGGGGAGCCCAGTGGGTCCCCAGGAGGGCCAAAGGCTTCGCTGCCGCGGGTGGAGGCGTTACGGCCACTCCGCTCACAGCTGCTTGCCATCGCAATGGGGAAGCTGGGCATCGGCCAGCACCCACGCTGCCTGGCCCTGAGGGCCAAGGCACAAGGTGGGGGCAGGGACACAGCTGGGAGGCACGGGAATGTGGTGGCCACCAACCGGTCCTTCCACTGGCACTGGCTGCTCAGCCTGGCACGACTCAGAGGCAGGTCAGGAAGGCGAGGAGCGGGTTTTCCTCCCCACTGCACACCGTGGAGGAGCGGAGCGGGGAAGGAGGCAGCACGTTTCTGCTCCAAACATGCGGCTGCTGTGGTCCCTGCACCAAACACCGTGCAGTTAGAGAGCGGCGCTGCGCTGCATTGCAGGCTGAGAGCCCTGCTCCTGCAGAAAGCCGTGTGCCGAGAGCTGGGGCCAGGGCTCAGCCGTGCTGGGTCGGGCCACAGAAACGAGGGGGTGGGAATGGAGCGAGTTTGAGGGATGATGAAGGGTGGATGTTACTGTTTGTTCACCTCCCCAGAGGGCTGTGTTTTCAAGCTGCAGGGCCACAAACATCAGGTCTTCACCAAATGAGGATGGTAAGGGGGAAACACGGGGACCTGTGAGACCTGCAGGCTGCTGTGAGAGGGGCGGACACTCTGCCCATGTCCTCCTGCTGCGGGCAAGGGCACTGGGGCCTGGGGAGAGCTGGCCTGTCCCTGCTTAACCTGGACACACGAGTGTCCCCTCGCACACACAGAACACCGGCTGCATCCTTGTTGTGGCTAGGGGCAGTGCCCAAGCTGGCCGTGCTGCAAAGGCGCGGCGGCGGCAGGATCAGTGGGCTGGGGAAAAACAGCGGGTGAGAGCGTTGAAAACAAGGACGGGGCTGGGGGAACAGACAGGCGTCATCGGTGGGAAGGAGGGGGCTGAGCTGAGTCTGGAGGAGGGGATGAAATTGAGGTAGGGGATGTGGCTGGGAAGCTCTAAAATGAGCTTCCTGGGAGGGTCTGTTTGGCCGGGAGCGGTTTTGTGTCGGTGCTGACACCTGGAAAGAGCCCAGACAAAGCCCCATGGGTGACCTGCAGCATCCCGCTCTGTGGGGGCGAGTCAACCTGCCTGGGGATTTTGCTCCTCTGGTCTTTATGTTAAATAACAAGAGACTTTGGCAACAGCCTTGAGAGATCTGAGCGGCTCATCAGAGGCGCCGCAGTGCGAACGGCTGTGCTAGGGGGG